ATTGGAAAAGGTTCAGAAAAGGGCAACAAAAATGATTAGGGGTATGGAACAGCTGCCATATGAGGAGAGATTAATAGGACTGGGACTTTTCAGCTTGGAAAAGAGATGACTGGGGTGGGGAGAATCTGATTGAGGTCTAAAATCATGAATAGTGTAGAGAAAGTAAATAAGGAAGTGTTATTTACTCCTTCTCATAACAAGAACTAGGGGTCACCAAATGAAATTAATAGGCAGCAGGTTTAAAACAAACAAAAGGAAGTGTTCACACAATGCAGAGTCAACCTGTGGCACTCTTTGTCAGAGGATGTTGTGAAGGCCAAGACTATAACAGAGTTCAAAAAAGAACTAGATAAATTCTTGGGCGGATATCTCGATCAATGGCTATTAGCCAGTATGGGCAGGAATGATGTCCCTAACCTCTGTTTGCCAGCTGGGAATGAGCAACAGGGAATGGATCACTTGATGATTACCTGTTCTGTTCATTCCCTCTGGGGCACCTGGCATTGGCGGAAGACAGGATACTGGGCTAGATGGACCTTCAGTCTGACTCAGTATGGCCATTCTTATGTTGTCTTCAGAGTATCCACTTATTTTTGATACTCAATTTGAGATATCTACAACTTGATTTTTCAGAATACTTACCATTATACAGCATATTATTTCTTCAGAGCACAGCCCTCATTGAGTTCAAGTGCAGCTGTGAGTGCTCATCATTGTGGAAATCAGATTCCAGGTGTCTTAAGTTGGGCACCCAGAAAACGAGGAACACAATTTAGTGACCACCTGTGAAATTTTTGGTTAAGTGACTTGTTAAGCATCACAACAGAACTTGGTGGCAAAGAAAGGGATAGAATCTCCAAGTGGCTGATCTAAAAATATTTTGGTCGGTTCAGTTTTAAGTGACTTGCTAGGGAGACCATTCTAAAATAGAATTTTAATTTGGATTTCCCCTGCCATTGTATATTATGATCAATGCAAAACTAAAGAACTGTAGTCTATTCTAGCAGGAAGTCATCACAACCACAGAGAAGCAGTTTGATACCACACCTACATGAACATCTGTAAAACAGTATATTTTTTCTGAGGCTCCTGAACACAGGGAATATTTAGTTAAATGTACTTGATTCAATACATGTGTTTTCGCACTTGATTAAATTAAAAACAGAATGAAATGAACTTGGGGAAACTATAGAGCATTAAATCATGAACACACTGAACTAGATCAGTATGAAAAGTGTTGACACAGTTTAATGAGAACTTTGCAGACTGTTTTTTACTATTGGAGATATCCCTGAACAAACAGGAATCAGAACATTTTTGTTCTCCAATATTTCCTGTTGACTCTTCATACTGAAGGCTACTGAAATATCCTTTTCCACCTGAGTCTTGTGCAGAGAAATCTTGACTTCTGCTTTAAAAAGGGACAGTTTTAAAAAAACCAAAACATTTCTGCATTTTCATTTTGAAAGCTGGTGCAGAAGTTATACCCTCTTCCCAATATAAATAGAAGCAAACTAGATTTTAGACACTTACAAAGATAGAAAGGTTTATTAAACAAATCCAGAATTGACAGATATTACATAAATTAAACAGCAGTAAAATTTTACTAAAGTTTATGTACAGATCACAGTGATTTTAATTGTGCAATGAGGGCTGACTTATGACTTTGAACAGTACTTATACATTGGATTTAGGACAAGCAACCAACAACATGTAACATTTGTCTAAGTTAACCTTGAAAGTCTAGCAGTTCAAATTGGTTAAGTAGTACACTGATGCCTGCTGCAACTACCACTACTTACTATGCAAGTATTTATCAAGCAGTTAGGTTTGCCATAGAAAAGTGCAATACATGGAAATGTCTGTACACAGTACAGTACAAAAGGAATCATGCTACAGTTCTTGAAAGCTGAAAAATAATTGTATAGCATAGGAAGCACTGCATCACAAGTCTTCTGAATGGCAAGCAGAAGGGCTGAATAATAGGCATATTATTTAATTGCTTTCAAAATACACAAAATCCCTGTTCATCCATTTAAACATAGTTTAGTACCTATATTTTGATCAATTAACAATTTTCTACAGTGGAAGATCACGTTAGTTAAAGCTCAGTAGCACAAGTATTCATCAGTTAAGCTAATTTACAGGAAAATCTACAGCATGTTCTCCATCTAAATCATGAAGCATTTTAATCATTTGGTTACAAGGCAATTTAGTTTACAATGCAAGTTCATTCACGTAAAAGCTCATATTGGGCAGTTAAAAACAAATATATAAACACAAAAATAAAGATAATTTTAACATTTCTTTTGTAACGTTCTTGTTCATTGAAGCTGAAGAAATATAAAGGTCTTATTACTGTTGTGGGAAAACAGCACTAGTTTATATGCAAAATACTTGTTAACAAAAGCAACCATTATAAAAAAAGAACTTTAGAGAATATAACACTTGAGTCAAATAATAAATGAAAAAAATGTTTTAAATTACTGAGGAAATCAGAGTCCTTCATGGAGTGTCTGTTTGAGAACTCCTGGTTAAGCACTGATATATATTTGCAACAGTGTGGTGTGAAATCCCAATCAGCAAAGAGTTAAAATGAAACTGACCCAACCATGCAAATAAATAAAATGTATAGGCAGTGGTGCCTCTTAAATTCTATATTGTACAGGAAATAACTGCTCATAATTACAAAACAGTTTTCATTTAAATAATATTATGAAAATGGTCTATGATTAATAATCGTAAGTTACCAAAATGTGAAATAAGTTTTATACTAGAAAGCACATAAAGAGATTATTAGTCTGTAATAATTAGAGATCAGCAGTTGAGCTATATATGCACACACTATTCCAGAAAGAATGTAAAGTCAATCTATCAACTTAGTTTACCTGCCTGATTAGATTTCTCTACTCTCTGGCACAAAGCGTTTCAGTGCATCCATTGCCAACAATGGATAAATTTCACGGACAAAAATCTAACCCCTGGTGTGAAAACATTCAAGATCAATTACCGCCGCTGTGATACATGTGTTTATATGTATTCCCCTCTTCTGGCTTTGAAGATGTAAATGAGGCCTTAGGCAGTTGTTTTTTAAATCTGCAAACTGAGTTCTTGAAATTCAGCACACTCATTGCAATATGTCATTTTGTAATAAGAAACGGGTTTTGTAGTTCTCCATGAAATACTGTAAACTTACACATTAGAAAGAACTGTACTCTTTCGAAAATACAAGCTCCGTGTGCTGTGTACTTAATTATTCTATCAAATCAGCAAGAGAAAGTTATCTCCCTGCATATAAATACATGCCAGATCAAACATTTTACAGAGATTGATATATTTTTACCAAGTAAAATGACTGTTCCTTATGCCAGTTCTGTGTCTTATTTTTATTTATTACCAGTTTCTACCCAGTATTTAATGGGAGTGGCACTTGGGGCCTATTAATAACCAGCGACATGTGGCACTTGCATCAAGTTATCAAGATGTCAATAGCAACACAGAATTTCCCCTTTGGTGTCTCAGTTTACTACCAGATAAACACTGTCTGCATTTCCGCAAGACACTTATGTAATCAGTCACACTCCTGTATTGTGTATAGGTCCAGCCATTAATTTTTCAATATAAAGCAGAAATTGGAGTTTGACATATGATTAATTATACAAAATGATGAACATATATCTGTCAGCTCACTGCACTTGTGCACTGATGAGAACTAGGTGGGTACAGATGTCAGCAGCTTTTTACTGCTAGAGACTCCTGGCTGAAATTTGACTGAAGTCAGAAGCAGAATTATTTTACTAGCTTGGGTTATGAGCCAAGTGACCGTTTGAATATCACATACTATATTGCATTCAGCATGTAGTTCAAAACAATTACTCAACTTAGGCCTAGATTTCAACAATACCTAGGGCACTGCAGGTTACGATTGAGGTGCAGAGATCTGTGGAGAAGTGTCCACATCATCTGTTTTGGTATTCTTAAACTCTACTTAGAGCCATCAGTATAAGTAGTAAGACTCCAGTGCACAAATGTGCCTTTTAAAAAAATACTTTTGGCCTAACTACAAATTTATCTACAACACAATCACTGGAAGCATGTATTTTTTGTTTTGTTTTTAAACCTGGATACTTCAAAATCAATTCCTTATGTTAGCACAAATATCACAGTGTGAAACATGAAATCAAATATTCTTAAAATATATCTAAATCTACCTCTGCATTTATGTGTACACACACACACACACACACACACACACACACACACACACACACACACACACACACACCACCACC